AAATAATATATTTCAATCATATAATGTGTACATACAGGGTGGGCCATTAGTGTGAGAAAGTAAAATAACTCCCTTGTTATTCATAATACAGAAAAAAAGTTTATATAAAAGTTGTATAGAATAAAAAACCTAAATGGAAACCCTATATATTTTTAAACATATGGATTTCTGAGAAAATTCTATATATGGCAATATAAATAGTTTAACATTCTAGTGCGGGGTTGCCAAGTTATGTAGAAAATTCTTCGAATTTTGGAAAAAACATGACTTCGAAGAAGTTGTTTTAACTTTCAACTACTAACACTTGGAGCAGAAATATTTGACAGAGTTATAGGCAAATATTAGGCAAAGACTCCTATTTTAGTTAATATCGATATTTTATACAGGGCATTTTTTATAATACGATCATTTTTAGAAAGTTCAAACTTGATTTTCTAAAATTTTTCAAATGGGACACCCTGTATTATATTGTTCTATTTTATTCACATATCAGTCCACTTCAACTTTTATTAAAATAAAACCACCCACTTATATTTAATTTTTTTTAAATACTTATGTATTTTAGTCAAGAACCGCCACTGCGTACGAGTATCTATGTAATTTTCCTGAGTATTTTGATAAGATAAAAATTAGAAAACTGGGCAAATAGCATTTCCTGTTGCTTATAGGTGCATTTGAAATTAACATCTGCATTATCTGTATAAATACCAACAGTTACATGTTTCCTTTACAGATAATTTTCTAATTCATATTTACTTTTAATCAGGGACAATAGCACGACATGAAATCGTAAATGAATGTAGGTAAATTGCTACAACTGTTTTTCGGGTATGCTTCAAGGAACAATACTGGAACTAGTGTTATTTAACAAGACACAATGATTAATTTTTAAATATTTTGTAATTTAATTAATTTATTATACGTTAAAGAAAAGAAAAAGGTTTAGAAGTCATTATCTGAAACTTTAATTTCTTCGTAACAATTTTTTTGATCAAATGACTTTTGAAGAAAACAATAACAAAGTGTGCTACAACAAACGTATAAATAATTATCAAACCCATTAACTTTTAGATCGGCTTCAGTTTCAAGCTGTTAAATAAGTGGCACTTAGCGCTTTTAGAAAAAGAGAATCTCACCGTTTCCTCGACAGACAAACACTCATCTCGTAAAAGATTAGTAATTCCGTAAGCGTACAGGAAGCAGGTGAGAAGTGATGCACACATTCATTTATATTTAAATTTAATTTTAGTCATTTGTGTCGGTGCCAGAATTCTGTTTACCCGTTTCTTAGATAACGCGAAATACCTGACACATTTTTAGTTCGGGCGACATTCGAAATCGTTGCCTAGGTCAAAAACTAGGCCGCGATGTGGCCTATTGTTCCACCGTTTTGCATAAGTAGGCAACAGGCCATTATCTATGCATTTCGCTCAAACCAGAACTTATTCTGGCGGCATAGCGTACTTTCACTTCTTTATTTAACGAGATGTTTTACGTTTTAGGATATATTTATTTTATTTTTACGAGAATGCTCAAATTTATTCACTTTTAATAGAATTTCCAACGAACAAAAATTCAGTAAGAAAGTAGAAATGTTATGTTTAATTTAGAAATGGGTAATAATTATAAAAAATAGGTTTACAAAATTCATAAAATGTAAATATTTAGACAATAATCTACAGTCACATGAAATAATGATTTTTTTTTCATTTTAACAGTGTAACATGTACACGTGGTTCTGCTTGTACAGTATTTTTTTTAACACAATGTAGAAAGCTAGTATAAAAAATGGAAAAATACACTTTATTTTAAATAAAAATATTTTCAGTCTACAGGGTGTTTCATAATAGTATGTTTTTATTCAGCGGGGTGAATCTGCGCATGATTTTAAGTAAAAAAGTTCATATAAACATATATCCGTAAATGCTTCGTTACCATGCTATCAGTTTCAATAATGTTTTTGTTTTTCCTTTGTATCTCCCACAATTTTTGAGATATGTACTTCAAATTTGGAACGTAGGCTAACTTAGATTACCTGCATCATTAGCCCTGCCTAATAGTCGTCACAATCTACCGGGTGATACTTTTTCTGGGATCGGGGTTCTTTTCAACCCCACAAACTTTCTTCCAGTACGCCACTGGACTTTTCTAGAGCAAGGGTTTAATTCACTGTTCAATTTGGAAACAGTTTTGTCTCTTGCAATGTTTTCGTATCTGAGGCCGTTTTCGAACAAACAAATAAAAAAATATTTTTTGTAACTCGCTAAATTAAAACCCAGATTTGAAAATCCGCTAGAAGGTTCTGACTAACGGATAATAATAATAATTTTATTTTATTAATTTTGGCCTGCAGATTAAAAAACTACTTCTACGTACTTAGATAATTATTATTTGAGTTAAATATTAACTACATTTTAATTACTTATTGATACAGGATAACAAATAATAAACAGGGCTATTTAACAAATTTCGGAAATCATCGGAAATCATGTTTTAGAAAGTCCTTACTATTTCGTTAAGAATAAATAACAAATTAACAACTACAATAAGACAAACAGTATTATATATAAAAACGTTTACAATATTCTAAAGTGCACACCAAACGTAAATTTTGGAAAGATAAACAATAAGTTACAGAACATAAGAGGGTGCATTTTCTTAATTAGTTGTTATTAGTGATTAAATGTTCTCAAAAACTTCGCAGACCTCTTGGGAGGAGATGGCGGGCACCCAGGGCCTGCAAACCACAGGTTAAGAATCATCATCGTCATTTTTTATTTTTATTTGCTTGAAAACGGCATCGGATACGAAAACATTGCAAGGGACAAAAATGTTTCTAAATTGAACAGTGAATTAAATTCTTGTTCTAGAAAAGACCAGTGGCGTACAGAAAGAAAGTTTGAGGGGATGATAGGAGGCCCGACCCCAGAAAAAGTATCACCCTGTAGATCGTGACAACTATTAGGTGGCTTAATAATGCAGGTAACCTAGGTTAACCTACGTTCCAAATTTGAACTATATATCTCAAAAACTGTGGGAGAGACAAAGAAAAAACAAAAATTATTGAAACTTTTTTACTTAAAATCATGCTCAGATTCACCCGCCTGAATAAAGTCCTACTATTATGAAACACCCTGTATATTTAAGTGCATTTCATATAATCTAAACAATATCTAACAAATATAAAAGTACAGGGTGATAACATATTTTGCCAATAAGATCCTACTGGTGATTTTCGGATTAAGAACAGATTTGCAAACGTCTCATTTTTGAGATACAGGACAATTGAAGTTTCATATACATATATTTTTTAAATTATTCTCATTTATTTTACATGTATTTTAAGATAATCCTTTTAAATTAAGTATCTTTAACACATTTCTGGTGATAACTTAAAGTATGAATATCGAAATACTCTACAGATACTTTTTGTAAATTCACGAATTTATCTTCCTCTAATCTGTTTGTTACCACATACAATTTTTTTGTTTAGTCCTATTTTTTATATGATTTGTTGTTTAGCTTGAAACAAAACACGGCAAAAAAATAGTGTAAAAAAATAGTGAATCTATTCTGGTGTTGATTTTTGAGTGAATTTAAGATTTTAACAAAGAAATGAACTTATCACTACAATTTTTAATTAGAAGGATTAAAATATGAGAATAAACTGTGTAAAAGTCACTCCACTTGTTGTTAATATTACTCATTTCTGAGTGGGGGGAACATAAACACATGCCAATGTACAATTTGGACAACAAATACGATTACTTAATTGTAATTAAGAATTTATTTTAGTTACAATATACCAATATGATACCAAGTTAACACAAAGATTATTCATTATAAGATTTATTTAGCTAACAAATAGTTGAGTGAACGTTACTCAATGAATAGTGTTGTTATTTCAACACAATTGGGTGGGGATTAGTTTTAACAAATTGTGTTAATTTCAAGTCTGGTGACCGGCTTAACAGCTACCAGGGAACATGAGAAATAAATGCAAACAATTTTAAAAACTACAAAACTTGATCATTCTGTATCTGAAAAAAGAAACTTTTGCCGACATACATTTATATAAACTTTTTTCATATTTTGTGTCAGAAAATATTCTGTGTACGAGATTTTGGAATCTTTTCATTAAAATTGTCAAAACTGCAATGTAATTTTGGCTTACAACCCAAAGAAATACCTTTTAAATAAATTTTACTCTAAGAAACATTCTGTCTATAGAAGAAATAGTTTTGGTAATTAAATTATTATCCAAAAAAGTGGAATTTTGCCAATACATTTACAAAGACCAAATATTAGAGATACTGATTCATTTTTTTGTGCAAAACTACATTACAGTGGTGTGGGATAAAATAGAGTCAAGAAGAACTAGTATACAGTTGAAGTAGAAATTAAAGTCATAGATGCACGATATGAAGAGGCTATCTTGAATGCTATTATGCAACGATAAGGTCAACAGTCTAGAGGTAGTATTGACATAGTCAATACTACCTCTTGGTAGTATGTGACACAAAAATAATTAATAAATATTTGATAATAATCCTAGTTGATAAATAATCTCATTGGTTAATTTGAGGTCTTGGTTTCACCAGTGACCGAAAAATCAGAAGGATGATTTCAATGCTTATCTTCAAATGTAGGACGCTTTAGATCGAGGACCAATTTGAGTTTTGAAGGAGTTGAAAATGATTTATTTTTAAGAAAAGAGTTAACGTAAAACTCTTACATTGCTGTTCAAAAGTTAAAAAAAACACTGGGTAAAAGGCATCCATAAATCTAGCCATAGCGTTACTACTGGAATAAATGGAATTAAATATAAAGAAAATGACCGAATAAAAACATTTGTACCCTTTATTCTAACCATAAGAATTAGACTAGAAGTCAAAGACTTGTGTGAGAGAAGGGACGGTATATTATTCCGTATTAACATTTTTGCAGTTTTTCTTGAAGAAGTCATTTCAAACGTGTACTGATTTTTTTGGAAAACTCACCTATCAACACTAAATCCTATGTACGAAGTAAAATCCAACACTAGGGGCAAAAGTCCTGCCGGCTGCCGAATCCGCGAGTACTATTTTGAAAAATCCACATGTACTAACGCTATTCGCACCGGTCAGCTAGTTGGCTGTGCACGAGACGCGCGCGCTGTGTCAAATGTTCCTGCAACACCTCCAGTCGCTGGTTTAAAGTAAAAGGAGAACCCTGCGACGGTGCCAGATCGTCGAATTTTCTCTCGAAGGCTGTCAATGACACCAAATTGGTTTTTCTTATTTTCTTTTTGGAAAAATATCGTGTTTTTTCTAGATGTATAAGGTGTCGCGATATTCCGTGTACGAGAAACTACCACAGAATCTTTGGATCAAAATAAAATTATTTAATAAAAGTGAACTAAACGTAACAAATAGAAGAAGTTAAAACTGACAAAAAAATTAGTTTTTTTTCTAAATAAATTCTAAAATGCTTTGTACAATTTAAACGTAATTTGGTATGTTAATACATTCATATAATATCACAAGTAATTACTTTATGCTTCTAGCTTTTGTTTTACCTTAAAAGTATTTTATTGCCTTTTCTAAATCCTCGTGAATTTGGTTCTGAAAGTTAGTTCTTTCCTCTACATTTCTGTACCAGTTAAGATAAAGTTATTTAAGAATTTTGAAGAATATGCTTCTAAAGTGAAATTTTTGTATACAGGCAACAGTGGATATCTCTCGGATATGGATAAACCTTGCAAAAATAATGTCAGTTTATATACAACTTTTTCTATTCGGGTTCACCCTATAGAGTTAGTTTTCGAAGTTAAAAATTGATAATCGACTTATCGTATTAACCTTTTTATTTTCCGTTCAGATTGGATAAGTTTTAGGTAAAAGCTGTGTTACAGGAATTGCCTCAATTTCTACCAATGTATTCAATTTACTGATTGCTATTGGGGCTGTGGGGAGCTCGGGGGCAGAGCGCCCTCCTCAGTCTTCAAAAAAATATATTTTTAAAATTTTTATCATCGTTTTTCCTCAATTATTTTTAGGCAAGAAAGCCATATTAGATCCGCATTTACCGATATCCTACTATTTTTGACATCTTCGTAGTATGTGAAAAATATTTGAAAACAAAAAACTGTCATTTATACAGCAAAATGAGTACTAACATCAAATTCCATTTATCTCAGTAAATAAAGAAACAATTAATTATTGTTGTTTTTAGACTTTTACTACTATTAAGATTACCTTTAACGTTTTTATATCGAAACTGATTCGTTATATCGATAACAAATATACTTTTTGTTACGTAAAAATGACAATGGAGATTAAAAAACACTTCTATCATTTCTCTTGTGGCGCAAATCTTTAACCCCACTTCCAATGTAGTTGTTGGTAAATTGATTGAATTAATTACGAAGAAAAAATATAATAATACATTTGAGACATTATTTTTATAAGGTCTATCTATATGCGAGAAATTGCCAGCCGCTTTCTGGACACCCTGTATATCTAATATGGAACACCCTCACAATCAGTTCCATATTAACATGTTCTACAATACGTTATTTATTATATGTTCTAAAAGTTAACTAAATAGAAAACTAGCTTATTAGAATTTGTGCCCTTAGATTTTGAAACAATTTAACATTACTAATTTTTTTTGTTTTTATTCGTTATAGTCTTAATTGTAAAAATTATAATGTGTTATACAGGGTGTCCCGAAATTAATGCAACAAAATTTGCTTCTAGATTCTTAAGACAAATTTAGGAGACCCGTATTTTTTTATTATAAGTGACCCCCTATTTCGGAGCTACAGCCCCCTGAAATCTGTCCCTAGAACATTCTTCTTTATATCTCAGAACTCTGTTGTACGAGAATCACTAAATTTGGTACACAGGGGTTTTATGATATATGGAATCTGACAATGCTACACTTTTTCGTGGGCCCCCTTGTCTTTGGAACCAACAAAATTTGGTCTCATATTTGAATTTCTAAAAAATTATTAGTTCGCTTGGCTAGAAAACCATTGAATTTAGAAACTTTTTGTCTCTTGTATTCTATTCGTAAAACGCAATGTTTTTGAGAAAAATGGCAGTCACGGCACATTTTGACATTTTTCTCGAAAACATTGCATTTTTCGAAAGAAGTATCAAGAGACAAAAAATTTTCTAAATTTAATGGCTTTCTAGCGGACTAATAATTTTAAAGAAATATAAATATGCTACCAAATTTTCTTTGGCTCCAAAGACAAGAGGGCCACGAAAAATTGTCTTAAGGGGATTCCCCGCCAAAAAATGTAGCACTGTCAGATTCCACATGTCATGAAACCCTTGTATACCAAATTTAGTGACTCTCGTACAACAAGATTCTGAGTTATAAAAAAAGACTATTCTTAAGGGTGGATTTCAGGGGGCTGTAACTCCGAAAGAGGGGGCCACGTGGCAAAAATAAAAAATACGGGTCCCCTAAATTTGTCTTAAGAATCTGTGGCCAAATTTTGTTGCATTAATTTCAGGACACCCTGTATAGTCGATTGTTCGTTTTAAAAAAGCGAATGTACAATTTTAACAACTATTTAGACTATTTAAAATATACAGGGTCGGAAAGTCCCCATGGTTCATCGGCCGTTACGTGAAAGCGATAAAGTAAGTCATAGAAATCCATACGTTACGTAAAGTTTGAATAATGTTCATTTAATATTTTTTGTTTGTTGTGGTATTTTGTCATCCGTGAAAGAAATTATTGAAATAAACCTCTTCAAAACCATAGACAGTGTAACACAGGGAAAACAAAATAAGTGATATTATTTATTTTATTTATTATTATTAGTATTCGTAACACTACACACTATACACTATACACTATACACTATAGTAAATATAGCCAAATATGAGATAAACAGATGAAACTTTGTAAAAATATTTTTTTAAGTTCAGTTTGTTAAAATTTTCATTCAAATTTGATACAAAAGATGGTAATGTTGATTCTTCTATTAATATGGAACCTCTCCTTAAATTATAAATATAGCTATACAGGGTCGGAAAGTCCCCATGGTTCATCGGACGTTACTTGAGAGGGATAAAGTAAGTCATACAAATCCGTGCGATAGAGAAGGATGGCTATAGTGAAGGCGTCTCATAGTTACCGCCCGTTTCGTCCTTCCACAAATAAGATCCACTTCCACTTGTAATTCAGCGACCGGTGGTCATCTTTGTTTTCGTCGTTTGCCTTTTCTTTAATAGATGTCACTACTTATACAATTTCGACTTCGGTATTCCGATATGTTAATACCATCCGTTAACAGAGGGCAGCACAACGCGTAACAAAGAAAACTTTTTACAGTAGCTAGTAGATACCTCTGTTTGTAAATCTAGTGACCTTGTTTCCCCTACTGAGAAGTTATTCAAATGGAGTATAGTGCTCAGCTGCATTTAAAGTTCATTTAGTTGTTATTTAAGTATACTTTTTAAAATGACTTAAAAATCCCAAGAAATAAAGCAAAATTCCCTATTTCCCCAATTCCAAAAAAATCTGTAGATCTGGCATCACTCTTTCTAGGGCTGCGCCTCACCTTAGACAAATTGTGCTGCCCTCTGTTAACGGATTGTATTAACATATCGGAATACGAAGTCGGAATTGTATAAGTAGTGACATCTATTAAAGAAAAGGCAAACGACGAAAACAAAGATGACCACCGGTCGCTGAATTACAAGTGGAAGTGGATCTTATTTGTGGAAGGACGAAACGGGCGGTAACTATGAGACGCCTTCACTATAGCCATCCTTCTCTATCGCACGGATTTGTATGACTTACTTTATCCCTCTCAAGTAACGTCCGATGAACCATGGGGACTTTCCGACCCTGTATAGCTATATTTATAATTTAAGGAGAGGTTCCATATTAATAGAAGAATCAACATTACCATCTTTTGTATCAAATTTGAATGAAAATTTTAACAAACTGAACTTAAAAAAATATTTTTACAAAGTTTCATCTGTTTATCTCATATTTGGCTATATTTACTATAGTGTATAGTGTATAGTGTGTAGTGTTACGAATACTAATAATAATAAATAAAATAAATAATATCACTTATTTTGTTTTCCCTGTGTTACACTATCTATGGTTTTGAAGAGGTTTATTTCACGGATGACAAAATACCAAAACAAACAAAAAATATTAAATGAACATTATTCAAACTTTACGTAACGTGACTAGTCTTTGAACTATCTTCTTATTTAATATGAATGGCTGACAGGAGCTATATGCCGACCCCTTACTGTTTTTTAACTTTAAAGATATCAATCTAATTTAAATATACATAAAAATTTTGCTAAAATTGTATCAAATGACGTTAAACAATGTTCTTTGATATCAAAAATTTAAATACGTAAAACATATCCAACATACAGACAAGATTTTTAACTGATGATATTGCAGGAAACAACTACTCTACGAGTTACATCCCCCGACTAGCACTGAATTATACACCTACAATATCTAGTAAACGGTTAGATATTAACTAGTTAGATATTAATAATTATCTAAAATAAATATTAAAAATGATATACCTACTGATATATTGAAATCATTAAATAATGTAATTTTTCAAAGGAATATATCCTTTATTCTAATGAAGATTGACTTCATTTAATAGGATTTAATAATACGAGTAATTAAATATATACCTCTAAAAGATAAATATGCCATATTTGTCGCTCTTTCCTCTTTCGGTCAGAAAAGAAGATACTCCTCATATATTTCTCTGTTTTAAATAACCAATAAGAAATTCCCCAGACCTGCCGACAGACGTGACAACGCCGCCGACCACGGCCGGCCAGGATTCAGGTTCTGTAGATGTTCCCCACCCACCTTCCTTCCTTCCGCTGAGGTCACTCACTCACTACGGCGATGAGGCCATGACCTTAGCTTAGTCAAGCGCCTCTCGTTGCTTCGCTGCTTACAGCTCATCTCTCCCTGGGAATTTCCTTTTTGGGGTTGGTGGAGGTCTTCGCCCGGGGAGGCATTTTTCGGCCTCTCCGAAGCGTTTTTGGGAGGAG